TGCCTATTCAACCAAAGTTCTCGAGTGCTAATCAGAATCCATCAATTTGAAACTTTTCCTCACTTCTATATTTGAGAAATCACTTACTACAGAGGAATTTCAGAATGAAACTTCTCATCTTGTTGCTCATTGCCGCAGCAGCAGCCCATCCAGGGATCATGTGGATGGAACTTCTTCATGCGCCATTTCTGGCGGAAGTCAGCTGGAATGCTCAATTCGACTACTTCAAAATCCTCTACAATCAAACGCTGACAATAGCCAAGCAGAAGGAAGAAATCAAGCTCTGGGCAAGAAGAAACGACGTCTCGGTACGTGAGAATAACGACTTGAAAAAGCAAAACCACTCGGCAGACAGGAAACTCACAGTATTTTAGAAAGAAGTGACGAGTTTCTTCCATAAATTCAACAGACGCATGGAGAAGACGAACAAGGATGTAGCTAAAGTGATTCACGCCTTACCAACAGCTCTTCGAAATCTCACGAAAATCATGAAGAATGAGAAGCAGACCTTACCGGAGATGATGGCAGCCATAAAACATCTGAAGGAGGAACAACCTCTGGTGAGTAGATTTCTTCTCAAATGAAAGGTTAACACCTGTGGTCCAGCTGACCATGGCTAGATATTTTCGAAAAGTCTATCAATTTCCAGGTCTTCCGTGTGCTGAAGTCAGCTATCAAAGAAGTGATGCATGAACATGGTTCACATGGAACTCACCCGAATCCTCATGAGGGACGTCATGCCACGCATAAGCACGGTTCCCATAGGCCTCACCCAAATCTGCATGAGGAACGTCACACCGCGCACAAGCAGGGCACACACGAAACTCACCCAAAGTCCCATGAGGGACGTCCACTCACGCATGAGTCCAATCCCCATGGACCTCATTCGAAGCCGCATGCGGAACGTCAAACCACGCACAAGCCCCATTTCCACGAACCCCACCCAAAGCCGGCCGAGGAACATCAAGCCACGCACGAACATAGCACACATGAAACTCATCCAAGTACTCATGAGGAAGGTCAAGTCACACATAAGCCCCTTTTCCACGAACCCCTCCCAAAGCTGCAAGAGGAAAGCCAAGTGACGCATGAGCAGGTTACCCACGAAACTCATCCAAGTCCTCATGAGGAACGTCAAATCACACATAAGTCCCTTTTCCACGAACCCCACCCAAAACCAGAAGAGGAACTTCAAATGACGCATGAGCAGGTTACACACGAAACTCATCCAAGCCTTAATGAGGAGCCCCAAGTCACGAAAAAGCCCGATTCCCACGAACCCTACACAAAGCCGTATGAGGAACATCAAGCCACACATGGGCCCGACGGTCCACACGATTTTCATCCAAAACCCCATGGAGGAAATGTTCCACTTGGTGGCCCCGAACCTGAAAAAACCCAACAGGGGATACCTTGGCAAAACCCCTGGAATGGAGGATGGAATAATGGACCTTCTAATGGCTGGCCCAACAACGGACCAGAGAATAGGCCATTTGGAGCAGCTCCGTGGAACGGCGGGGGATGGCGATTTGATCCTTTTGGTATCTTCGACCATTGGTTCGGTTTCTTCGGAGGAATGCTGTAGATTCTCTGTTCATATTAAACCATTGCCTCCTTAGTTACGAAAATGAGGCCATACGGTCCAAAGTGTTTTCATTATTTGTTGTCGCCATATTATTTTCCCAAACACCTGCTATCGGTTGATACAACAGTTGCGGCAATGATTTCATGAAAATGCGGTGTACTAATAAAATTTCCGAAAAGTTCGAATTCTCTTCCGAACGTCGTTTTCACAGATAGCGAATAGATAAGCTGAACCCTGTGCCAAGCTCATACAACTATTACATTACAGTTGGCAAAGCATCAGTAAAAGACGAAGATTATGTGCTGTCAGGCAGTAATGCTGGTAAAAGATTATTGTTACCACATTCAGGAAAAGTGGCTTGACCGATCTGCTCACTTTTCAATCCGAATGTTAGTCTAGACTGCGGAACCCGTTTCAGAATGACTTCGTGACAGACTCTGCAGACATGCAGACAGCTCTATGTTTTTAGCACCCAAGTAGGTGGGAACACTGGCAAGATATGGCACAAATGAGAGGATAGATGTACTTGACGTGAATGAAGTTGAAAATATGGGATCTTTGAAAAAGCTGAAAACGAAATGGAATGGAAAATTATGAAATGAAAACAGGAAAATAAACAATGCGGTGAACCCAAAGATATCGATAACTGCACCCACCCGAACTACGTGCCGCCCGTGCAATTTGAGTGTTGCGCGGGAGGTTACGATAGTTGCAACCGCTGCCGCTTGCCGTGGGAACATGGGTACAAGAACTATCATCCGTGAAGGTTTCAGATCACAAGATACTGGTGGTTCGTTGGGCAATTTGCCTTCCTGTAACTCGAATGGGGAAGTTGGCGTTAATGAACAGTTAATCATGGAGTCTAAAGAGAAATTTCCTCTAATCAGATCGGAGGGAGCAGAACTCCATTCAAGAAAAGACTTCTACAAGATTTCGTTGAAAGAACGTGCCAGATGAAAAACAGGCCTTAGATAGTATAACAGCAGCCCTACTATCTTTCTTTTTACCAAAAGAAAAAGAACCTTCTTGAAGACAAACCAACAGAACCGGTAGGCAACCGAAATCGAGATCCACAGCTGCAGCTACCTGTCACGATTTTTTCACCCCAATTGTAATAAGAGAATGAAGTCTTCAACAGCCCTAACTGTTTAAAAGATTTCATTGGACGTGGGAATAATGGGGAACGATGGTGCATGAGAAAAACTCCTCTAAAGATCCAAGATAAATCTGTAAAATTAAATCATAACGTATACATTTCTGCTAGCCGAATCCACCAAAATTACCTCAGAGGCAGATGCCAAAGGATGCTTACCCGTTGCTGAAAGCTCTATTCTTGTTCTAATGAATACTAACAGAGACAATGACAGTGGCACACTTAATAGCTCATACGAACATGATGGCAAGAGCACACGGGAAAAGGAATCCGAGACGTGTTCAAAGATCACCATATCCTGATTCCGATTGGATATCCTTTGATGTCCTCTAAGTGAGGAAGTTCTACTGGATCACATAGGCCTGCGATAGGGATGGCTGGAGACTAAATGGCACGCGCAAGTACAAATTAATGATCAAGGATACCGCTGATCGTCTGAGTTGGTGCAGGGATTCGTGCCTTTCTAGCCAATGCTACTACTCCGCCATACGAACTTTCAGACTCACTATTGCGATATGGATAGTGATAAACACACATATCGTAGAGCAACACTATAGGAAAAAGTTAGCAGCAGGAACAGCTGTCTCCACGGTGAACTTGCTGTAAAGTTACTGTAGTTACTCATGAAGCAATCTTGAACTCACTAATTATACACCATGCCGGAGTGGAACGTGCCTTCAAGTCCATCTTGTTCAGCTTCGCGTACACACTTTCAGAATATCCTATTTGAAATAACAATAGTGAACGATTAGATAATTTCTCAGAATATAAGCCAATAGTACCACCAAAATTGCATTCATTTCATCATTCCAATCGATGCAGCTATTCGAACTTACTCAAGAGTTCTTCGACGAAAACTTCAACAAAGTCATGGATGTTCTCGAAAATGTATCACCAGAGCCGGTAATGCACTACCTTATTGCTTGATTCAAAGCCCATCATGGGGCTTTATCACTCCTTAAAAGGGATACTGAATTTCCCCTCAACTATCGATGTGAGGGATAGATTTCGACTACTTGCAAATGGTATGAGAATCTGGGAATAGTCACGATCTCGAAAAGCCTTCCGTGAGATAAATGTCCAGGTGAGAAAGTAGATCCGGTAGTGACAGGCTGTTAGCTCGATATAGTCTCTCACAGAAAAAAAAAACAGTAGTAGACGAAAAAGCTCGGGCTCAATCATAACTGAATGCTACCGTTAGCCGTTATGTAGTAAGTGTGGTATACAGGCATCACACTTTCAGCATGACCTCCTGGAAGGAGAGGAATTCCATAAATTGAACAAGGATACCGTAAGTGTCAATTCTTCTGTGGACAAAAAGATTCTAGTAAGGCGCGTCTTGGTCGCATTACATAACAACTCAGCGGGCGGTAGCGTTGCGTCGTACAACTACCAAATACGATAACTTTCCTCCGGGCGAAATTGAAAGAAAAGACCCTTTTACTCACTGCTACGCAATCAACACTTCATCCAAAACGGATTTTATGATATTGAAGCTACTAATTAACACCACGAAAAAGCAGTCAGCCTGAAAAAAAAACAGCCAAGGATAAAGCGCTTCATAAGAAAGTGGTGTGCAATGCTATGAATTAGTGAAAACGGGTGAATTTAGGGGCGTCACAGCGGGATATTTTAAGAAGAACCCGAGACTTCACAATATTGCAAAATCTGTAGACTTGAAGACCTATCAATCGTGCCACAGAGATGCCTCTCCACTCGAGGAGCTTAGAAAGCACGCCTGCTGCCTACCATGACGATAGTCGCCTGCTGCCTACCATGACGATAGGGGACCCCCTCTTGAGCACCATTAAACATAAAAAGTCTCACTGTCTAAGAATACCCATGCAGGATGAGCATCAAAAGTATGAGAACTTTTGTATTTACTATTGCTTGAAAAAATGACAGCGGCACGCTGAGCGGCCCAACGGTGACAAGGGAATCCCATTTAGTGATAACATATTGTAGCAACGAATTTCAATCGAGTGAACTTTTCAATTTCAGTTTGCCAACGCCAAAAAATTACCGCTGTCGATATGCATTCTGTTTACCGACAAAAAATGGGCACAAGTAAGTAGTCCGCAAGGAACGGATCTGATCAAAAATGAAACATTTCAATAAAATTATGTTACATTCTTTGTCAGTCGATGCACCAGTAATCACATGTTTCCATAATATCAAAGAACCGGACCTATAACAGTTAGTAGAGTATAGTAGCGATTGTTGAGCAGAATTGCAAAAGCGATAGAGTTAGGATAATCGTATAGAAATCACATCAATCGAAAAAATAATCTAAATTTTGAAACAAACACGAATGATATGATGTTGAAGGTGAATTATGCGATCAATAACGGATCATGAAAGGCAAATTGAAATCAATCGGCATCCAAAGCAGCCATTCTTAAGATCTGTTCACAGACCTTTTTGTAGAGGAAAGCGTCACCACATAATCGTTTTCGTCGAATTCCAATCTAGTAATCAAATCGTATTAAAAATCAAATGGATACATACTGGAAGAATGAAAGAATCTGATTAAGCTTGAAGGTGAAGCCGAAAATTGCATCGAGTATTTTCTTTTACTGTTCCACATCTCCGAAATGCGTTTCTCCCGTTCGCCTCCTCCCCCTTCACCCGAAAGGCATGGCATTGGGATAAAGTGAGGGGAAGTTGGAGAGAGAACGGC